TAACCCTAACCCTAACCCTAGCCCTAACCCTAACCGCCATCTGGCTGAGTGTGCCATCGGCCGACTGTCACGCTTATTGTCTGTATTGTTGCAAAAAATCACTTGTGTGACATTTGTGATCACGAGAGGCACATTGTGGTGGAATTCATCAGTTACACAACTTGATAATCCAGAACTTGTCAAGATCCCGGGAGCGTTCTGGCCTTTGGTTTGCAGCACAATGGTGCGTTTTTTCAGCTTTGGGATGTGGTGGGCTTTCGTGTTGTGGTGTTTTGCATCTCGGCAGTCTTACCTTTCACATCTTCATCTTCCACAGTGGTGTTGCTGCTGTCTGATGATTCCTGGAGATCAGAGACAGATGGTCAGTTAAGGTCTGAGCACAGCAGGTCACTCTTCTGTACTGAAAACACATGAAGGGGTTTGATTTCAACAGGCAGGAGACGACCAGCAGGGGACAAACTCCTATGGTACCACGTCATGTCTTCACAAAACCCAAACCAAGACCAGTTCACCTGGGCTCCATTCATTCATGCCAAACAAGGACAAAGTCTCAGTTTAGTTCAAGTCCGCTAACGTGTTAGTCATTAGGGATAGGGATAGGGTTGTGTGTTAACCCTAACCCTCGACCGTTGTAAATGTTCAGTTAAAATCATGTCCCCAAACAACAACTAACCCTCTGAAGGTTTGAAAAACAAGTTGTTTCCTTCAACGTGCATAATTTTACCATTTACCAGAAACTATAAAAACAACCTGAACAGACTGTTCGAGTTCCGATGGTCCTTGAACTCCTCATCAGTCGCATGCTGTTCTGTTGAGAAAACTATCCAAATCTAAACTTCAAATTGTGGCGACTTCTTTATTCTACATGTCTCATTTAAAAATGGGCCAAAAATAAAGTACTGGCTCTCACCACATTCCCTAAGAAACAGCTGTGAAGCCACCATTCCCTCAGCTGCTGCCAACAGCTAACAATTCAAGGACTTTGTGGTTGAACTGGGCTGAACTGGGCTGAACTGGGCTGAACTGCAGGCTGTGCTCACACCGAGCAGACACGGAAACAAATCATACGTGCAAACAGCAAAAATGTACAATATGTAGAGTCAACCGTTTTTTCACCCTTTTTGAAGCCTGACCACAAGAATTCAACTTTAGCTTTTTCTTCGTTTCTCATTTCTGACACTATAACTCTGTCACGCAGCACAGAAGACGTCTGGGTTCTATAAGTGCAGAATTTTAAACTGGAGTAAAAATGTGACAGGACGAACAAATAAGAAATAAAAGCCCAGGAACTGCCTGGGCCTTTGAGGGTTAATCACTGTTGGGTTTTTTCTATCCTTGGCCTGAAACCTCTTCAGCTCAAAGCTCCCTGTGCTTCATCTTCAGCGTGTGCATCCTGTGGACAGATGACATCTTTCCTTCAGAGGGGGGCTCTCGTCTCGCTCTGAAACTGACAGAGCCTTAATGGGAAGTGCTCCATCTCTCTATTTCAGGATGGAAGCAGGCAGTCTGGATTCTCACAGGGCGATCGGTTGTCGTCTTAAGCAGGGCCTCAGATCGCTCTAATCTATTCATCTACCTTTCTGTCTTTCTCTTCACTGGCTTTCGCCAGAGGAGGAGTTTCTCGTTTCCAATTAGCAGATTAAATGGGCCTAAATTCCCCTGTACGTAGAGGAGAGTTTAGAGACTCGGTGACCTCATTAGAATAGAATCACGAGCACAAAGCACAAAAGTGGTTTCATAGGCTTTAAAAGAGCAGCTGGTGACCTGAGAGGAAGAAAGAGTGAAGAGAAGAAGAACTGTGTGAGTGTGAGGGACAGAATTGTAGCGAGTGTCCTCAAATATTAGAGATATCATTAGAGGTGTGATTACACCTACAGCTTGTTTTCTTTGGTCTGAACCGTGGAGATGTTCCTCTGTGACACTCTGCATCTTATTTATTTTGTTCCATCCTGCTGCGTTTACCGGTAAGACAGGGCTCGTAAAACATGAACAACATCAACATGACTAATTTACTCTGGCTGGTGTTGATGCTGCATCAAGCCCACGTATGAACCTCCCGATATCTGCTCCTTTTGATGGTGTTTCCCCTGTTGGCATAGCCACAACGTAAAGCTAATAACAAGAGAATTGGAAGGTGAATATGCATGTAGGGACTTCATTTGAAAAGGAACATCTTGTTTCTTAAAATGTGTTTCTTCAGAAAGACACGGCACGCTTTATACCAGAATTATGCAAATCACTGCACATTTTCTACATCTTGTCAGCTGCACCTGCATGAAGTTCCAGCTCTCTAGCTTATGGGAGACAAGGAAATGAAATAAGAGTGGAACGTTCAAACACAGGTTTACATTGGTTAAAAGGTTACTCACTGAGTTGACTTTGAAAAAATCTGGAATCAAGATTGTCACCATTTTTCCAAGTCTGTTTACAATCCTGGAAAAACCCGGTGGCTCTGAATATTACTGACAATTCACTAGTTTTAAAAACCTCTACACCCCGGGCCTTTCTATCACACTGCTCCGCACATTACCCCCAGAAAGATATTTCACCCACAGCCTGCTGACAGCGGCTCCCGTGGATGCCATTTGTACTGCATTTAGTCCAGAACTGTCCACATCCTGAAGCTTAAAAAGTCACAGAATTTATGCTGCGTGACTTCTGGTCCCGGCCGAGTCACTCACCGGGTTGCACTGAGGATGTGCAAATGGTTTCAGTAGAATACAGTGATCCTGCTGTGATATCAGAACCTTGAGCTTAAATTTGATTCGTAAGTTTGTAGCATTTTCACTAAAAACATATATTTGGTCGCGTCCTATTCAAAGAAATGGTCGTGACTGAGCATCAGCTGTCCAGATGCACTCAGCTCCTGAAGAGGTCAAAACCAGCCGAGTGTCAAACATGAAGCAGTATTCTTCCTCAATACGTTCACTGCCTGCACTTGGGCTCTCTGAAAATTCAAAACCGTGCACGTCCCTCTGTGGACCGACCCACAATCTAAAGCAAAGGTCACTCTGCTGGGATGCAAAACCTGAATGTGTCTCTGGAACAAAGTCATGTTACAGCTCCCCTTGAACTGTGTGCATTACAACTCAGCAAAAACACACATGGGTATAACAAACTGCTCAGTCATGCCTCGGAGGAAGGGATCTTACTGCAAAGTCATGCACGTTCATGCACAACCTCTAAACACACATCGGCTGTACCAACCAAAGACGGCTCAGCGTGGCTACACAGTCAATTAAAACATGACTTCATCAGAGCTCTCTGACAACACATCAGAACTCTGGGAGCTAATAAAAGAAGCTGCTGTATATAAATCATTAGCATTACTGCTCATTACACAACATCTGCACAATGAGGAGAACAAAAGGGGAACGAGGAGGAAGCATGACTGAATGGTAGTAGGAGTTGTATGAACGCTTTTTAATTATTAGCTTCTTTAATTGTCATTTATTACCACCACATGCAAACTTATTTAGCTTCCTTGATCCCAGTGTATGTGTCGAGGTCCTCCACGTGGCAAACTAACACACGAGTTTGCTTCAAGAGGTTCTACTGAACAAGACAACTAACGCTCCCTAATCCACCCGAACCCCTGTTCCCGTCATCATGGAAAGACATTGAAGTGTTAACATGGAGCAACACACAGACTGCCACGGTGCACTCACACAGATGCAGGATATAAAGAAGGATCAGAGGACAGGAGGAGATCAGGAAGAGGAGGATAATGACAAAGAAGGATAAAGAGCGGGTCAGGACTGGGGAGTGATGTATACCTTCGTCCCGTCCACTGGATTATGGATGACAGTTGTCTGAGGTTCCTGGAGGAGGAGGGAGGTCGGAGGAAGATGGAATAAAAGACAGAGAGTGAAGAAAAAGATAGAGAGAGAGCGGGAAAGGAAGAGAGCAGATAATAAACGCAGACAGAAATGGACCAAGTGTAAAATAATGGACAGAGAAAGAGCGACATGAATGTTGGATGGAGAGAAAGTGCTCGTTAAGGTCGGCACAGGAGACGGGGAAGAATCCTCCACAGCGATAAGAGTGGGTGGACGAGCTGAACACTGTGATCTGGAGTCACTTTTGTTCTCTGTGCACACACACAGCAAGAACCGAGACGGCGCTGAAACGTGGGCAATGAGCCGCGCTTCTCTAACACAAACTGTACACATACGTTCCCTGGAGATACACCCCAAACCTCAGCACAACCATTCACTGAACCTATCCACAACCTGGAGCAAAGTCTTCACCAACAATGTAATGGTGTGAGCTGTGAAGACATCATAGAGACACAGACAGACGAAGGACACAGCCTGAGGCAACATGCAGCATAAAGTTGTGCTTGAAGCTACCAAATGTTCATCCAGCTTTTCCTCTACATGACTGCTGTGCATGCATAATTCTGAACTGCCCTCCACGTCCTAAACGATGGAAATATCCAGCAAATCACGTGAATTGTAAAAACGAAAAGCGACAAACACATGAAGGGGAAAATCAGCCAGCTCATACAATATGCATAAAATGTGCTGTGACATAGATAAACACGAGCCTCGATGTGTCGCACAGCCAGCAGAGAGGCCGAGGTGCCCCACAAGATGAAAACGGGTCATTCTGTTCTTTCACGTCTCAACAGAAACGGCGATCACTGCCGGGCAGATCCTGGCATCATTTCAGGATCCCTTTCTAAAAGAAGTTCGGTCACAAATGGCAGCTTGCACAGAAGTGGATCAGTCACTCGACAAGATTAGCAGCACAACTTTTCTCCTTGCTCTCCTTGCTTCCTGTGTTGCAGTTTCTGCTGTCAAATATCTTCTTGCTCTTTCTGCCGTGACTTTGTGACATTTTTAGCACGACCAGTGGCTCCTTTTAGGACCTTTGTGGCTTAAAGCCCCACAGTGCTGCCTTCTTGTCATCTCCACAGCAGGAACTGATTGCAGATGACTCAGTCTGGAGACATTTCCCCCTTTTTCTGCAGCTCTCCACAGACTACCAGGAGCTGTCACTTGATGTACAGTAAATCAGAACCCACCGACGCTCCCCCATATCCTTTGCAGCTCCTCTCTTCCAGCCCCCCAGGAAGTGACACCTCTGTGATGACCAATCATCAGCTGTCTGCCTGGTGGTGATGGTGGTGTTGTCACGGCAACCGTCTCCTCGGGCAACAGGCACCGGTGGCAACTTGGGAGATGATGATGAGCGAGAACAGAGTACCTGGGGTGTGCAGATCAGGAGTGCTGATGGGTTCAGATTCAGGCAGGGGAAGAATTTGACCGTTACACACCGCTGCTGACCTCACATCCACACTGCTGCTCCTCCAGGGACAGTTTAGATAAACCATTAT